TGTCCTCACTTCTGTTCTTACTCAGATTAGATTACATGATCCATCATGAGAATCAGTCCTTTGAACTCATCCTCATCTCCTCTGTGTCCCCAACCTTTCTCCCCTCTTGTCTCTGTTCTTGGCATATGTTGACTCAGGTTAGATCCATGTCTTTCACAGCACAACAATAAGAGAATGGACTTTGGTGTGTCTGACAGCTCTACCCTTTATTAGCTTTGGGGAAGTCAGTTAACATTTCCATGCTTCACTTCCTTATCTATGAAATGAAATTATGACGATACTTAATGCAGTTGTGAAAATTCAATAGCACTTGGAGCATGGCAGCACATGGCCTAGCACATAGTAAACATTCCATAAGTGGTAACCGTTATTATTAGTATGTGTAATCCATGGTGGTTCATATTTTCTGTGATAAAATCTACAACTAACTTACAGATAGTCATTTCCAAACATGAATGTATGTTTTGCTATGTAAAAAGATTTAAAAATCCTGATTTAATGGTCTCATTTAAAAACCTATTAATTACTTTAGAACCTTCTGTTCTTTTCCTTAAGACCTTAAAGACTCAAGAGAGTTTTAATTATACTTTTAATTTATGCACAGAGCAGTAAGGAAAAATTTAAAGAAGATGAAAACTATGGTCTTTAAATCTGTTCTGAATTTATTAAACATGTCATATGAGATGTGCAAACATGAATAGTATACTCAGTTTTGGCTGAGGAAAGCTTTTGAAACGAGACTATATGAATGATTCTAGCATCTGCCTTACATAGCAAGATGACTAAGTAGCATCCTCTTCAAACCCCACAAATGTGGTTACACAGGTCTCAATGTTGACTCTTAAATGTAGAACACATCAGTCAAAATACTGACACTTTTTTTTCTAGTGAGTTTCTGATGACAAAAGAAAAATCCACCTTAGCAAGTGCAGCTCAAGGCATTTACATCATTCTCCTTGGTACTGTAAGGCCTCTCTGTGTTATCCAATGGATGATATTTTAGTAGAACAACAAAATGCTCCATGTTCCTTCTTATTACCATCCATCATCCAACAGCTGTAAAATCACCAGCTGCTAGGAAAAAAGAGAACTAAGTTAGTCCTCTACAGCTGCAAAGAGAAGAAAGCTTAAGATCTTCCCTTCACATAGCTTCTGGGATCTCAGAAGGTTGCAGTCAAAGTACAGTTTTCCTTGCCACAAAACTCCTACCCTTGTAAACATGTCAAGCAGCACAGAAGCTGTGATTTATTTTTCTTGTTAGTGAGAAAGAAATGTATGAAAGAGAAGCAGTAGCAGTGGCCGAGATAATAAATATAATAGCAGCAATATAGGTAGAGTTTACCATATCCCAGACACGGGCCATCATGCTTTTTTAGTCTCCACAGTAACAACAGAAGTAGATATCCTTATTTTATTAGGAAACTGGAGTCTGTGAGACTGAATAACTTAGGAAATGCTGTGGTGAGTCATAGTCAGGTCTGTTTGACTCCAGTAGTAGGGTCTTAGTCATTGCACTGTTGTTCTGCCCTCCAGCAAGAGGAACAGAGAAGGAAAAACAGAACTGGTGAAAACTAAATGGAAAGATCTGGAAAGAAAGGAAAACACAGAGAAGTGGTACTACTTTAAAAGACAGGAGACTGCCAATTTGCATCGGTCTTCTAATTTCTTTCTCCCAAGGAAAGGAACTGAAGCTAAAATATTAGAAATCTTTAGAAATAGACCAAGTTTTGGTCTAACTTCTGTAATTCATTATCATCAGTCATCAAGAATTTCATTAATTAATCACTCATCCTAGCACCGTATAAGCTGCAGTTGAACTGGTGTAGTCTATGAAGCAATGATTCTCAAACGTTGGCAAGCATCTGACTCACTTGGGGGGCCAGTTAAACACAGATTCCTAAGCCCCACCTCCAGGGCTTCTTATTCAGTAGCCCTGGGGTAGAGTTTGAGAATTTGCTTTTTTTCACAAGCTACAAGGTAATGCTCATGCTGCTGGTTCAATGAGCACACTTTGAGAGTCACTGTTATGGAGAAAAAATGTGCTAAAGAGAGTTTGATTTGTGTGCACATACCTGTGACTAGCTGACTGGAAAAGATTAGCATTTCTGAAGAGACTACTTTTCACTCTGCAGGCATAATTTATGAATTCGGTTACTTACAGTCATACACATCCAATGAATGGTGCCCACAGACACATAAATGTGGAAGGACAATTGACCTTACAGCTATGTCTTTCTGAGGCAAAAGACTATGCCTTTAATGTGCACTTTGCACAGTTAAGCAATCATAGGAATGAACTTGACAGTCAAAAGAGGCAACCATTTCCAAATTTAAAACAGGTTGAACATCCCTACTCCCCAAAGTGTGAAATCCAATATGATCCCAAATTCAAAACTGTCTGAACACCAACATGACTCCACAAGTAAAAAATTCCACACCTGACCTCATGTGATGGGTGGTAAACAAAACACAGATGCATTAAACATATTATATAAAATCATCTTCAGGCTTTATGCATATGAAGCATAGTAAATTCCATGTTTAGAATTGGGTCCCATCCACAAAATATCTCATTATAATATATGCACATATTCCAAAATCCAAAAAGTTCCAAAACTTTTGGTCTCAAGCATTTCAGATAAGGAATAATCATATAGAAAAGATAAAATTGCACTTAAGCTAAAGAGTGGGAAAAAAAATCTGAAAACAAACATTCATATTTTCAACTCTTGCACCTCTGCCGGCCCAACTGCTATGGCTTTTTTTGTTTTTTTTTCCTCCCCAAAGAGAAAGAAGAGATTCTTATGGAACTCATCCCTGGAAGCCAATATGATCTTAATCACTTAGCCTGGTCTTTCCCCTTCCCTGGTTCTAGCTCCACGTTGGTCTGGCTTTGACACATGCTTAGTTATAACACAAGGGGTTTTCACCACTGCTGGAGAAGTTGAAATCAGTATGAAAAACTGGGTAGAAGGATGTCAGAAAACTAGCATTATTTTTATAGGAAATTTCTTTCAATTTCAAAGCAGTCTGAGATTAGTAAGGAAATGAGGTTTCCATCCATAGGATCTTCTGACATCCTCCCGAAATGGAAAAACACAATATAAGCCTTTTTTACTTGGTTATTCAGCTCCTCTTTATAGGTTGATAATTTTCTTGCTGACAGAATATTGTGCAGAATAATTTTATTTTAAGGCTACTATAAAAGTCTCTGTTAACTTTGAGTAATTATCCTTTGTTGAAACTAACAGAATCAAGAGAAACTTCTAGAATTTTTCCCTTAGGAAGTCTTACTCAGTCTGACAGTTTACTCTCAGAAGACTTATTTTAAGAAAGAAAAAAAAATGATTGCTTTTAAGTGCATGCCCATAAATATTTTATAAAGTTTTTGATAATACTGGCAATTTAGTATGATTGATCAGAGCTATTCAGGTTGTCTCACAGGTCATTCATTCTACAAACATTTATTGAGGGCCTACTTTGTCAAGTTATGGGGGCCTCTAGGCTTGCATCTGTCTTTTTGCTCAGGACTCTACTCTGAAGTGGTCCTGTAAAGTCTGGATTATAAGGGACAACTGAGAAAACAAAAGGCCTCTCTGTTTTCCTCTACTAATTCACTCAGATATAATGGCAGAAACTTATACGCACTCTATCTGACATAAGTTTACAGTCTAGCAGGTTGACATGTCTCTAGAAGATCTTGGTTGTTCTATATTTGAATCATAGCTGAACCCCACTAATCAAGATAAACCAAATTTTTCCACTCTTCATTTGCAACAGTATTTCAATGGTCTTTCAGTGTCTAGACACGAATAAGTACTTGTTGCATGAAATCTGTGCTGTTGTCAACTTTGGGAGCCCTCAATTCACTTCTAGAAGAAAGAGACCATTTCTATCTTAGTTACTCTCCTAGCCACTCTTGCTTCATATGAATTACTCCACTGATACCCTGCATACCAGAGACTCAGCCCAGTCAGTATGTGTTGGCCTCTGGTTACCCGGTCCATGGCCCTTGGTAGTCTATCCTACCTCAGGATGGGAGAAAGAGGAAAAAGTGAGGCATCCACTCTTTAGGCAATGTAGGCTTTTTTTTCCACGAAAATTGTTTTGTTTGTTTTGCTTTGCTTTGCTCAGAAAGATCAGAGCAACATATAAAATTAAAGAATTAAGAGTTCTCTCCTAGTTATCTTCTCTTTGCCTCTTCCCCATCCATAGCTCTGGATGTGCCTCAACAAGGTGCTTGCTGTCTGAGCCACTCTGTCTTTTTTGGAAGATGGTGAGGTGAAGACCAACACTGACACACATTTTTCATCATCGTCCTATTTCTGTGTTGCTGTCATTCAATCCAGCACTTATTGAATAGCTGCTTCTGGTTCAGGTAACACACTGGGTCCTGAGGATGCAAAAATCATACAGTCCCTGTCCTCAGGAAGTTCACAGTCTCGGGCAAGTAAAAGTTCAAAGGAAAGCTCAGGGAGACGTGGAACACAGGAAAAAGAGGGGTTAATGCTACCGTGGGATGAAAGGAGACCAGGGGCACTCTTCACAGAGGAGAACTGTTCTACAGGCTGGACAGCAAAGATGCCAGACATTAAATTGAGGTTCTTATTTTCCCCACTTCTAAACCTACTTAACAATGGTCCCCATTTACCACCAAAGCTGGCTTCTGTGTGATAATGCCACTAATATGATTATGCTAACCTCTTGAAACTGCTCACCTTACACTTTATATCTGAAGGTCATGGTACTAAAAACTGGCATGGATGTTTTCCAAGGAATCTAGTTATCATGCTTGACTATAACTCTAAAATTGAAGCCTCCAAAACAAGTCAATGGGTACTTTATAGGTTGAGCATAGAGTTAGAGGAGTGTATCAACAGAGAAAGAAACAAGAAGCACCATGTTGGTATATACCAACTTGTAGGGGACTTAAACTACTAATGCTCAAAGCTGAAGATACCTCAAGTTTTGTTTTTCTTAAGAGGACCGGTTTTACCTACCACATGGAACGCTCCTGGGGCCTTGATGGGTCTAAAGCCATCAACAGGTACACATTGATGAGCGTGGCCATTGCAGAAGCAGCTGCCCTTGACAATGAAGTCATAGATTGCATAGTGTGTAAAATGTTGAGGCTTTGCATTCAGGTCATTTCTGTGGCAGGGACAAGACTGTCGCTTCAACAGCTGCACACGGAGGTTGGTGATCTTCAGCTGCCCCTGGACTCTGGCACTGTAAGGGTTCTCTGCATCATATGGTGGTGACAGAGCTCTGAAAATAACCTGTGAAGAGAAAGAAAATACCATGTGTGTATAGGACTGAGTGTAAACCCTGGACTGTTTGCACAATGTAATCCTCATTTGATTTATACCTCTTATTATCTGTGAGTGCTAACAAAAGGTTTTTAGACCTTGGCCACTCCTGGGGAAGAGCTACTCTCTTATTCTAAGGAACAGATATCCTGTCTGGATATAGAAGGAGTACTGAGTAGCCAGCAGAGACTTGACTCTTGAGACGAAGACAGCCACACAAAGATCTTAGGTAAAAGTGTTCTGAGAAGAAGGAACAGCAAGAATAAAGAATCCAGCAGAGTCAAGCGTGACTTGTTCCAGGAAGAACAAGGTCAGTTTGAAGTAGGGTGAGGTGGTGTACACATTTATTCATAGCTACTCTGGAGACTGAGGCAGAAAGATCACTTGAGCCCAGGAGTTCAAGATCAGCCTGAACAACACAGCAAAACCCTGTCTCAAAACTAAACCAAACCAAACAAACAAGGTTAGTGTGACTGCGATTGACGAACAAGCGAAGAGTTGCTGGAATGGAAAGAAAATGGGTGTGTCAGACAGACATGAAGCCAGCACTTTACAGGCCATGGTGGAGTTACTCTAATTGTAGTGAAAGCTACTGGGATGTGTAGACAGAAAAGTGACCTGATCTGAGCTCTTACATTTTCTAAAGAAATATTGTTACTTCTGGGAGAAGAATGAATTATAAAAGGTAAAGAATAGGGTTCAGTGGCAGAACATGTGCTTTGCATATATAAGGTCCTGGGTTTGATTCTCAGCACCTAAATAAATAGTAGATAATTGAAACAAGAAAGCCAGTTAGGAAGCAACTGCAAAATCAAGATCCAGGAACTTACATCTCTAAATGAAATCTGACCCTTTCAAATACTACTCAGTTATTAACAGGAGTTATTACTGCTGCAATATCCTTTGGTTTTCCTTTTCTAGAACTGCCTTTTAAGCTTGGGGAGCATTTGTGGAATATCCTTACTAGTCATAAATATACTTCCCTCCAGCGTGGATTTGATTTCTGAAATGAGTCAAAGTCACTAAAATCAAGCATAGTGAACAAAGTGGCTGATCAAACTAGTTAACAGTTAAATGCAAGGCATGACTAAGTAATGATACTTTTTATTGAGTAGGTTGGACTCTAAAGGCAAGTTAAGGCCAGGCTTGGTGGCTCACACCAATAATCCCAGCTACTCAGGGGGCAGAGATAGGGAGGATGGAAATTCAAGTCCAGCCTCAGCAAAAAGTTAGTGAGACCTCATCCCAACCAAAAAAAAAAAAAAAAACTGGTTATGGTAGCACACACCTGTCTTTTCAGCTATAAGAAAGGTGTCAATAGGAGGATCGTAGTCCAGGCAATGTGAGACCCTATTTGAAAAACAGCTATGGCAAAAAGAGTTTTGGGCATGGCTCAAGTGGTAGAGCACCTACCTGCCTAGCAAATGTAACTCCCTGATTTCAAATCCCAGTACAGAAAAAAAAAAAAAAAAAAGCAAAACAAAGTTTAAAACAGTAATCTGAGAGTGAACTTGAGAGAGAGAAGCTGAGAGGGCCAGACTTTGGCTGCTGGGAAGCCTTTGGGTATGTGTGGGTCTACACGTGGTATGGGGATCTTTAAGAGGCTCTGGGTGTGGGGAGCGCAATGTCTCCAGTGAGCTGCTGCTTGGGAGGAGTGCAGACAAACCACGGCCAGTGGAAAGCAAGGAATACCAAACATGGATTCTAAGATATATTGTAGCATGAGACAGTATTCTAAGGAAGCCAATGCTAAGTTCTACTTAATATGCAGGTTTTAAAAAGATAAAAGCAGAACAAAATGTTAAGCAATCTCATGAATTTATACATATAATAAGAGATACAAAATTCCCCTGAAAGATTCTTATTCATCTCTTGGCTTGCAAGGATGTTAAAATCCTATTAACTAAAACACAAATAGTTTGAGAATCAAGTAGTTTGAAAATAATTATCAAATGCAGGCTTTGAAAAACTCCCTTTTAGTGAGAATGTATCTGAAAGTATCTGTTTTACAGAAAAAAATTCTTTAAGGATGACTTTGGATTTAAAAATTTCATTTTAGAAATTGTTTTTACACCAAAAGCATGAAAAGGCAAGAAGCAGCTGTGGAGGACCATATTGCTGAGGCTCCTAGTACAAAGCATTACAGAAGGAGATAATTCAGTGTATGCGTGGATTCTATGCAGTAGTCAGATGATGCTTTATAAATAAAAGCTGAATCACTTCGCTCTCTTGCTTAACCACCCACCTCCACTAAAGACCCAGTTTTCTTCAGAATAAAATGCAAGCTCTTTAAATGGTCCTGCCTGAGTTTTGGTCATAGTAGTTATTTCCATCTGACATTCTATTCGTGGCTGTTCACTGATTTACTGTCTTCCCAGCATAGAATGTAAACTTGAGGGTGGTCACGGATGTGTCTGGCACACAGTAGGTATCAAATATATTTTTGGTAAATGACCTAATTAATTACAAAATTATCTTTGCACTTGAATAATAGGTGAGAGTTTCAAATAATTTTCTTGTATAGTGTTCTACAAAAATTCACAAACTAAGTTTAATGTTATTAGCATCAAGAAGGTGAGAGGTAGGAACTTACATTATAATAATAGTAATAAATAATACAATTAACCAGTGTGTGTATTCCTAGCTAATTTTTTTGTTATTGTTGTAGAACTGGGGTTTGAACTCATGGCCTCATACTTGCTAGGCAGGCACTCTACCACTTAAGCCACTCCACCAGCTCTTTTTTCTTTTGGGTATTTTCGAGATTGGGTCTCATGAACTGTTTGCTTGGGCTGGCCTTGAACTACAATCCTCCTGAACTCTGCCTCCCTAGTAGCTAGGATTACAGGAGTGAGCCACTGGCACCCGGCTTCTAGCTATTTTTAAACTTGCAAAACTTATTTGTAAAAAAAGTTGTATCTTAAGTGATATTCTACCACATTTATCTACATGTGAAGTGACAGAAAGCAACATACTGGGGAATAAAATTTTCCACTGTGACAAATGATATGTCACACATTTGAGAGTCAATGTAGAAGTAATGCTGTTTTCTTATAAAGACAGAAATCAGAAGATGGTTTTGTATTTGGAACCACTAAAGAAAAACTCAATCCACTGTGAACTTTAAATGGGACTTATTTTCAATATGTCATCCTAACCACTAGCATTTCTGTTAGATATTCATGAAGCACTCTTGCTTTAAATAGCATAAATGATGTAGCTACCCCACCTCCCTCTTTATTTTATCAACCACTGTAATGCAAGGACGTGGAAAAGGATAACCCACTACTAACCAAGTAAGTATGCTCTAAAGTCTATGGTGCACTTCTCTGTGTTGTCTGCCCACCCTTCCTTTTCCTGAACACTGGTGGCAGCTGTTTGCTGTCTCTGTTCCGGTCACATATTTACCCTTGACATTTATCCTAGCTCCCTGTCTCTCGCCACCACATCCCTCCGTCTCCCTGATTGTTGTTCAGCACAAGCAGAGCTAGAGGAAGATCTCTCAAGGTTTGGAGAAACTTAGAAGCCCTTTTGCTTCCTGAACCCAGCCTGTGGAGGCTGAATGGTGGCTCTGTGCTGGGTGTGCATGACACCACAGTTGGCACGCTGCTATCAGTAGGGAAGGGACATCATGACCCCCGAGGCTGTATGCTGGAAAGGAGACAGCAGAGTGCCACAGACACAAAAGTGAACGGGAATTTAAACCATGAAATCTTTTTTTCCAGAAAGGAGACGCCTTAATCTGATACCCTGGGAAGTGGATCCAGCCTACATCAGGAAACAAAGAGGGAGCCAACCCAGATGCTTCAAACTTCTGGCAGGTCGCCCTTTGGGTCCCACCCAGGTTTTCTTCAAATGTCCCCAGAAAAAGCCTATGTGGCACTACTTAAATGAAATAAGACAAAAGAGTAGGAGCCATACATATAACCTCAGCACTTTTGGGTTTTGTCCCCATGAGGAACAAGATGTATCTGTGGGCTGATTATTGTCCCTCTGTCTCCAACTGCTTCTGAATATACACTCCCAACACTGTGTGTGTGTGTGTGTGTGTGTGTGTGTGTGTGTGTAATTTTGTAGGTGGTACTTTGGCTCCACACTTGCTAGGCGGTGCTCTACCACTTGACCCACACTTCCAGGCTGTTTTGCTCTGGTTAATTTGGAGACAGGGTCTCTCTGTGTGCCCAGGCCAGCCTGGACCTTGATCCTTCTATTTTAAGCTTCCCATCATAGCTGGGATGACATGTGTGTGCCACCACACCCAGCTTTTTTCTGTTGTGATGGGGTTTAATAAACTTTTTTTTTGTGCCCACGTTTTAGCCTGAAACTGAGATCTTCCGGATCTCAGCCTCCCAAGTAGTTAGGATTACAGGTGTGAGCCACCGTCACCTGGCCCAAGGTACTTCAAGATCCCATTTCCTTAAATTAAGTAATTTTATAGTGGTTTAGTGGTTAATGTTCTCCTCAGTAGAGAGAAAAGGTAGAAGGCAGTAAGTACCCACAGCATGGTCCGTCCCAGAGAGGAGGAGGAATATGAATTTGATAATCCTTCTACCTAAACTGTGTACTTTGTACACACAGCTTTGTACACAGTATTCTTCCAAGTCCGTACACATACCTTTGCATCAGTCGTTCTCAAAGCATCGCCCTCAGACCAACAGCACCCTAAGGGAACTCGTTAATGAGGCAAATTCTTGGGACCTATCTCAAGTCAACCAAATCAGAGACTGCAGGTCTGGCCCAGCGATCTGTTTGAACAAGCACCCCTGGGTGATTCTGATGCACAGTAAAGCTTGATGCTACACTTGATATTAGCCAAAAGGCCGAGAAGGGATAATAGTTTGAGAAACAATTTAAATCATTTAAGATGCTGGCTAGAAAATCAATGTATGGGACTGGGGCGTGGCTCTAGTGGTAGAATGCCTCCCCAGCAAGTTTTAGGCCCTGAGTTCAAACTCTGGTATAGAAAAAAA